AATTGGAATTTCAAGCAACAAGCGTCCAGGATGGATGCCACGGCAGACCACTTTTGCGTACATTTATCAAAGAAGGGGGTGTAGCTTCTTGTCTGGGAAAAGAAAGACAAGTATCCCATGAGTAACAACACCTTTAAGCTTATTGCTACTATAGAGGTAAAAATCAAACAAACTAAATGACTATTTATCAAAACCTTATGAAACTAAATTGAATATTTTTTCGTTTCATTATGCACATTGCTGAAATACTTTCACTTTTAAAATCCTGTACAATTTTCCCGATCAAATAGCCTAGAAGAGGGAAGACTACTTCTCGACTTATTCTAGCTAATCCCTTTTGTTCAATGTATGTGGTCACCAGATAATGACTATTGGCCATTGGTTTCTTTTATTACATGTCCTTTTAAGCAAATGAAATGTGCACTCATCATCCTGAGTCTATCGACATATCTTAAACTTTGCCCTGCAACGTTTTTAGAATTACCTTTTCGTACTTAGAACTCTACCACAACTTCGCCATCCGCGTGCTTTTTGAGAGCGAGAAAAATGTGCCATGACCTGCCCTTTATCCCAAGCTATTTTCTCTGTGTTTTCCAGCAACAAGCTTAGGAGAATTTCTTGGCCCACTTCATAATTATAAGCACTTGGTTGTTGGCCAGGTTCTTAATAACAGTGCAGCGTCTTAAAGGGGTACTCTGAGGATGAGCGCTATCCACTCGTTAATATCAGGGATTACACTATCTACATAAGAATGGCCGGCATTCAAGCATTGAACGGCTTTTCCTACCGTACAATGTGAGCAAGTTCTGCATGCGGTGCGTAAAAGTTTACCAGGAATTCAAATGTCTTGAGAAACGTCTTGATGTTGGGCGCCACTTAACCAAGCAAATTGCGGAGAAACCTTTAAAATTATGTGCTAGGTGCAGCCATTGGTGGTGCTCCGTCAACGAATTCATAATCTCTAGCAACAAAAGAATCGACTGTAACATCAGCTAACAGTCCATCTTTGGAGGGGGTTGAGGTTTGAAGAAGTAGGATTCTATCGGATTTTGTCAACGAGTGCGGTCATTTTTACAAAATATTTTCTTTCAAGGAGACGAAATCGGTGACAAGGCAAATCCTGCTGATGTTGCATCTAAAATGAAACATCTAAGATAAGCAGATGGAGACGAATTGTTCACCAAGGAGGAATGACTTTCAGCTGTCCAAATTGCTAGATATTTCAGCAAGCTATCAGCCCTTAATAAGGCCGATCTTCTGAATCGAGTTGTAAAGAACCTCCTTGGAGGATGAATTTACGATCAATACGTAAAAAATGCAAGCAGTGGAGACAAGATTTCAAATAAATACTCAGTTCGGTTATTCATAACGTAAGATATACACATACATTTATGAATCATTTTTTTCAATAGCTTGTGTCAGCGTTACAGAACTTCTATGATAAGTGACTCCTTTGCTCGGCAGCTGTTCATCTGTTGTTTTAAGATATTAGTATCACAAAAACCAGCGTCGGCGATCCCACTCTCAAATTGAAATTGAGTGAATGAAGATCTGTTTATGACCAACAATTGCATAAATTAACGTCCGAGGTCACGTAATTCAGAGGGGCGTGATCACGAACCTTTTATGGAGGCCAAAAGTTATTTAGTACGCAAACGTAGTGTTAAGATAGGTCTTTCCTGTGATGGTATTTTTGTTGACATACAAGGCTGCCCATCGGAGATATTTGCAATAAAATAATCCTAATTTTTTCTTTTCTGGAATAGTTGCGTGACACAGTTCATGATTCACAGCTCTTAATTGGCAGAGGTTATATCAAAGTACCCCAAATTTAAGGAATTGTTTCCTTAAGGTTCAAACTAGCAATGTACATAATAATAGTAAAATCAATGGCATTCTGTTACTGTGAGAGAAGTTCGTTGGAAGTGCATTTTTCGAGTTAATTTAGCATTTTACCCCAGGAATTTGATTTGGGGGCTCTAATACCCCAGGGATGAGCCGGGAGCCTGAACCAGTCTGGATTCTTGAAAAACTTAGTGACCCTCATAAACTGTGAAAGTTTGAAAGAAATCGGTGAAATGACATGTGTCACGCCTGCCCGGTGCTCTCGTGGACAGACTCCCAAATGTTAAAAGCATCAGGTTCGGGGGACCTTCTTCAATTTACATTTCAAACACCTACCTTCTTGGTTTTCCCTAGAGTACTAGTCTATTTGGGGGGAAGGGTGGGGGTTGTCAAGAGCCCTGTGTCTAAAGCTCATGAGTGGGGAGAGTGGGTTTTATTTGGTTATTCTATGGTTTGCTTTTCCCATAAAAAGTAAACGCAAAAGAAACCAGCCTTGTCTTCTATGACAATATCTGCAAAAGTGGGTCTCATTTTAAAGTTCCTCGTTGAAAAAGGTAAGCCTCAGAGGCGTAAAAAATTTAAAGTTTGGACCATTCAGTTAGAACATTTTTTTTATTCTATCTGTTGCTTTTTTCTACAGCGTTGTATCTTTTCGTACGCTATTTTCCTAAACAGAATTAACTTAGCGTCTCTAGACATCAGACTCCTTCAGAATTTCTTATAACTGTTCCGTACTACATATAAGAAATATGTTTGTGGTCTACACCTTATAGCTCAAGAGTTAATTTTATATCAACTACTCTAAAACCGAGAACTTCAAAGTGTGATAAACAAAGATACAAATTGCAATTGGTGTCGCTTATTCCCACTAGCTGGTCATTGTAAATAATTTACAACTCAATTTGTGAAACTTATACATTGGAAATTTTTATTGAACTAAAGTAATTACTGAGAGAAGAAAATAAGGATAAAAAAATTCTTCGCCCTAATGTGGCGGGAAAGATAAACTACCTCGTATAGAAAAAAAATTAAATGAAGTCTAATGTGTCCTAAGATTTTATAACTTTCCCAATGGCGATTGCAATAGAGTTTCTTTGGTTACTGGCATGCGTTAGGAAACAGAAAATCGTCCATTAACGAAACAAAGAAAATAAAGGCATGTACCACCCTTTCACCAAAAGGTGACAATAAGAAAAAGTTATAACACACAGTTACTTAGCATCCCACTTATAAGATCGAAAGCTCCTGAAGTTTAATTGAATAACCTCACCATTGCATCATAAGAAACTTTCGTGACAGAAAGGGAAAACCTTTTTACCACAGTTTCCACTCCTGACATCCGAAACTTGAAAATTAGGAATTGGTAAGGTTAATGGATCTGACAGGTTAGGGAAAAAGCTATGAAGTATCTACTAATTTTATGGACTAGCCCAACATGCGAAAAAAAGTCCCGATCACAGAAGCAATCAAAACTGGTTTATTCTGATCCTTTAAATCATCAAAGGCTTCTTTGCTGTACCACATTTCCCAGAACAAGATCCCAAGGGAGATCTCTAAAGAGGCATTGTAGTTTCTATTTCGCACAGCTTCTGGCAGAAGACTAAGAAATGCATCACACTTTGATCCATGATCGATGGTCAGCCACCTCCTGAGGGGGATGTTGCTCAGCTTAATATCACGCAGATTGGAACCGTCAAGCTATGTTAAATAATACCAAAAGAATAATTTAAATTGATGATAAAAAGAAACTCAATAAAGAGTGGTTTTGTCTTGGTGGACTCGCATTTTGAAAGAATACACTGGATCTCACCAAAAGAAATAGAATAAAACTGAGCATGATTCCACTTTCTGACTAGGCAAGGGTCACTAGTTTGGTTCAAACACACTTGCTTATGAACAAAGCAGTTATATCTTCATCTGCTTTTCGATGTTATGAGATAGATTTATAAAACTGAATAAAGGGAATAGGTTTCTACAGAACTGTGGTGCTGCATCGATGGGAGAGTATAACAGGGTAGTTTGGTACTCGCAACTGAGTTGATAACGTAAATTGGACACCGTAGGCAGTTTAATGGCCGACTTATTTGGTTGAATGAAAAGTGCTCGTTGGTACCATGGGGATTAAGGGCGCCGTTTTGAGAAATAAACTTTTGTTCTAGAGTTTTTCGGCTTCCCGAATTCCTTAGATAAAGGGAAAGGCCGCAAACGGCCTTATGCTGTTAAGAATGATTAGGGAGATCACTGAAATGTCTAGTGATTGGCTTGGATTTGCCTTGTCATTTTCTTCTACGTCGGGAAGGTGTTCTCGGAATCGGTCACCTAGTCGTCTTTCTGTTTCACCAATGCATGATGTATAACTTTTTGCAATAAGTGCAAGTTATGCAATATACAATAGTGGCGGAGGTGCACGTAAAGTGATAACTTCGCAGTTATGATTGATTTAGCTTTTCAAAAGTGTAAGGGTCTAACTGCAATGTATTTGGCCTGGCTAAGCCGAGATTATAATGTACTTAACAACAGCCTATAAGCCTAAGTCTAAAAAAAGTGACGCTTAAGTCCTTGAACGAGAAAAGCTTAGTGCACACGGGAGAGAGAAATAATCCAACCCTTTATTTTACTGCGAGTTATAGACCTTGGAAGTCTTATGAGAGCTATACTTGTGTCCGCGCTATGCTAGTTTCTAAATTTATTACTTTTTCCTTAAGTGTAAAACTAATTTAAAACAAAACGTGTTACTACAAATAAAATATTTCCTTACCAAAACGTTTTCCAACCAAAGATCACCGTGAACACATCCGTCAAACATACTGTAAATCGACATCAGTGCTTCGACGACTTGGTCTGCCCAGCGAATCGCATCCATCGTAGCCATGGAATTCTTTGCAGGATAATTTCCGGGATGATCGATCAGATATTTCTTTAAATGAACTCCTGGGCACTCAGATATAAATGCAGCTTCTAAAGCTCTAGGAACCTTTCTGAAAACAGCACCGTAAAACGTGACAATGTGAGGATGGCAAAGCCTCCTGTGGAGTAAACAACAAAAACAAGAATACCAAAGTGTTACTAGCACAACGCGTTCTCTGAATCCTAAAGAAACAAGTTTATTTTTTGGTCGAGTGTTTGATAAAATTTGTTTCTTTATTAGTTAAGTTGTACCTCAAGATTCCTTCTTCTGCCAAGCACTCAATAATATTGCTGCTGGTCAGCAGTTCTCTGTACACTTTAAAAGTTACTTGGCCACTTAATGAGCACCTTCCCTTTGAAATGTGTCCATGGTAGAGCCCAGGTTCTATTGGTCGCTTCAAGTAAACATCCTCGCTGACATCCCAAGAAAGGTCATCCCAGGAGAGCCTCATGAACCGGATTTCCATAGAACCAAACAACGTGAGCTCAACGCGCAAACGCTCGCATTTGTCTCTACAGGGCTTGTAGCGAGCTTCAGAATCCCTCTTGCTTTGCGCCTCCTCTATCAGTTGCTGACAAAGTCTTACATCGGATTCAACAAGCATAGGGATTCTCGCTTGCAGGTCATTCAGGGTGTTTACTGCTAGCTCTAATTGCGCTTCGACCAATGGTTTTAGCGCCTCGAAGGCTGCAGCTTTCGCTAGAATCTTTTGTGACATGATTCGTACGTACTCTGCGAGATTTTTATTGTATGCACTCTTCTTTTTTGCTTCTTTGATGTTGTCAGCAATAGATTTAGCTCCCGCAACAGGAAGAACGAGCAGTGACGTAACCTTTCCGGTTTCAAAGGTCAAAGCCTCACAAGTCGCCAAATAAAGTAAACTCTCCGGCTTAAGAATTCGATAGACCCCAGTTGACGGTTATTCATGAATTTATTGGGAAACTTCCTAGCCAAGTAGATTTTTGATACTCCTCTTTGTCACTGCTAGACCGGCTTTCTTTGTGCTTAGCATGATCATGACTTATCAAAGCACCTCAGTGGTTTGGGTAAGGTATTATATTCAAGATATTCACCTGCGATGAGAAGAACATAATCTCTGTCTTGCATTCTCTTTATTCTTGTTTTGATCTTAGAAAGGAAGTCGCCCTCGCTTGTTTTCAGCAAATCAAGGAAGGTAGCGTCAAGACCCTGTATTTCCCTTTCCACCTTAGCGTAATAATCAAGAAGGGCTAATGATTTTTTCTTGTCCATTGATTGTGCCTCTGAAATCACCTTAAAGGCCTGAAACATGTGTAAATATTAAATGGGTTAAATAAGCAAATGAGTACATTTAGACTAATTGTTACATTTAGGCTAGAAGAGAAAAAAGCTAATATTATCGCTGGGCAATTTACACCCAATTGAAGGAAGGTGGTTTTTGGCTTGTTATTGCAGCGCCGAGTTTAAGTTGGCAGGGTATTAGTTACGTTCCTTATTCCTATTCACAACTGAAAAACGACAAATATATTGGTGTGCAGGTCGAACGGAGTGTATACTGTTGTCCGTGTAGTGCACAAAATAAGCTCAAGTAAGTAGCTGTGTACATCAAGGGCGATCCAAGCATAGTTTACAACAATTGAAGAAGGCAGACGAGCACCCGCCTGCTACGAAAAACCCAAAAACGCCACAGGGAAAATAGGAACGTATTCTCCGACCAAATGCAGCTGCGCCGACCTTCGGTTAAAGATTGAGTACAGTTCACCACATACACTAACTATGCACGCATAATTTAGAGTATAAAAACGTTAACGAGATGCTTGAACATTCATTTACAAGAACTCACCTTTTTTGAATGAGATTGACAGTTCGAGAGCTGAGATGCACAAATTACTATTGTCAGACCTTACATTCACTACAACGAAAGAGTTTGTTCGTACCAGGGGGAAATTATTTAAGCTTATTTTCATTTCCTGTCACTGCCACTTACAGCTTAGTTCCGCCGAATGTCATTACATTTCATCAAAGCCACCTATTTTCTTTTTTCTGGATATATCGGTAAAGCCGTTTTCAAGTAGAAAGGGGAAAGAAAGTGAGAAAAATGTCAAATAGGGCTTATTGTTAGCTTAATTCTCAACTAACCTTGCAAGAAACAAATGGTAGACACCGTGAGTCAGATGAATTACAAATGAATTTTGAGTTTGAAAGGACTGAGGTAAATACTGCATTTTGTGTTTGAGGCCTGGCTGTCTGCCTGCTGTAATGAATTCACTGATCGGAACAAAATATAAAGCTGAGCCTAACGGTGAATTGTCAGCCAAATTACTATGAGATCCTTTGCCACATGATACTCTCGTGATATTAGCACAGTTAATCATATTTTTCGCAAGGCGAGCTGGATAGCTTTCGTGTAATTGTAACTGCTTTCGACTGATAACTAACAGAGGAAGGTCACAAACGCTCGGTTACTTGTGACAGTGAGTTTAAAAGCGTCAAGCAAGTTCTTAGAGGCAGAAGCCCGACTACTTTGGCAGCAAGACAATGGCAAGCGGCCGAACCATTGAGTCATGACACGAAATAAAAACAATAAAGAGAAAAATGGTCTTTGGGTGTTTCTGAGTAGAAAGTTCGAAGCTAGTTTGAGACAATAACTCGATAAAGCTCAGAATTAACACATATTGTACAAACTTGCGAGCGGGCGATCCGTAGCCGTTCTGCTGTATTATGTTGAGTCGATTGATGCACTGATTGGTAACCGAACAGACATGAAATTATAGAACTGAATTTAAGGATCAAGTTTCTGTTTCTATGAAATCTTTGCATTAGCTTTAATTGCGTAAGAAAAGTAAAAATCTGTTACTACAAGAAGTCCTATAAAGTAACCATAGATGATTTATGAGAGACTTATAGATTCTGAGCCATTCGCTTTACGATGGCACGTTCAGCTACAGTGATGTGACGATAATAAGTTTAGTGTGAACATTCATCGACTCGCTTTCGAGTCGAAGGATACTTGCCGCCAAGTAAAAGTTTGTTAAAATAGCAATGTATCCCCAGCCCATGACATGGAACCAGCCAGGCTGTGCAATGCAATAATGCAATAATGCAATAATGAGATAAGGAGCAAATATAAAGTGGAAAGATGATAGATATGACTGTTAGCCTACCGAGACATTTTCTATCGACTAAAATAAGCTTACAACGACGCTTTAGCTATAACATGTTGCCGGAAATGTCTAAATCATAACAAAGAAACCCTAAATACACGTTCATTTAGTAATACTGAATTATTTCCCTGGCAGTCTTACCTCATTGCAGGCCAAGCGGTTATCTTTTCGAGAGCTTAGATGAGCGAGAATCCTCTCCTTCATGTCTTCGATATTTTTGCATCCTTTGATTGGAATGCTCAAATTCTGCATTTAATCGATAACCTCGGCGATGTCATCTACCTCATCCAATTTTCGTCGGATCGCTTCCATTTTTTTCTTCCAAAAGGAACTGTCTCAAGTGCTCCCCATGGCATACTTCACAAGCTTTTTTGGAATAGTGCTGATTTAAAATTGATGCCCATGGTTTGAAAGCCGAAACAGTGTGAAAAAAGAAACTTTTAAGAGATATTTCTCAGAGGTAAGGAACATTTAGAGCAAAAAACGGCTGAAATCAAGAATTTCGTCTCTTTAGCTGTCGAAAAAATTTAACTCAATTGTTGGCTTCAGCTTCCTTTAAAGAGAACCATTTCATTCGTGTAAATTTCCTTTTTTGGAATAGTTACGTGACATAGTTAATGATTAATTGCTCTAAACTGGCAGAAGTCATAGTAAATTATCCCAACTTTAAGAAATTTTTTCCTTAAGGTTGAAACTACCATTGGACAAAATAAGAGTAATTAGTCGGAAGTGCATTTTTCGAGCTAATTTCAGCCTTTTACCCCAGGGATTTGATGTGGAGGTTCTAATACCCCAGTGATGAGCCGGGAGCCCGAACCACTCTGGATTCTTGGATAAATTAGTGACCCTCAGAAACTGTGAAAGTTTGAAAGAAGTCGGGGACCCGAAATCGGTGAGATGGCATGTGTCACGCTTACCTGGTCCTCTTGTGGACAGACTCTTGAATCTAAAAGCATTGGGTTGGGGGAAACTTGTTCAATTTACATTGCAAACACCTACCCTCTAGTTTTTCCTTATAGGAATGGTCTGTTTAAGCAGGGGAGGGGGGTTGTTAAGTGCCCTAAGTCTCAAGCTCATGTGTGGGGAGAGTAAGTTTTGGTTTGTTATGCTATGGTTTGCTTTTCGCATAAAATCGGCATATTTAGAGGGGTCTTTACATTTTATGTTTTCGTATGACTTACAGTGTTATTACCAGGCGCATGTCAGCCTATGGGCTACATGTGGTCCCTGTGGCTGGAAATTGTTAAGGGAAAACACTCAGGAAAAGTGTTGTATACTAGGGTTCGATGTACTACTATAGAGTAATGGGTGAATCAAACCATATCCTCTACACAACTGCTTTATTGAGATGCGATGGTTTATGATTACATAAAATGATATATAAGTATAATCACGTGACTGCGATCAAGGGTGTGTTTTTATCCAAATAGGAAAAACAGACAAAAAGACTGAGTTTGCAAAGAAAACGCAAAAAATTAAAAAATAAATAAATAAACCACTCGTGTCCTTTTTGACAATCTACAAAAATAGGTTTCATTTTAAAGTTCATCGCTGAAAAAGTTAAGCCTCAGAAACGTGAACAAAGTAAAGTTTGGACCATTCAGTGATGATAGTTTTTAAACACCCTTGACACTAATTTCTTACAAACTTTCGTTCGATTTATATTAAGTTATTATGTAGTGGACTAAGTGATCTTAAATGAAAGTTTCAGCAGAAATCGAGATATCCTGGAATTGTATCATAACTTTGGAATCTTTGCTGCCCAGGAAATAGTTCTTATTGTAGGCGCTACTTTTAGCAGCGCCTTAGCTTTCTTCACATATCATAGCCCATAAAAGTGCGACGCATACCGTAAGTAAAAAAAAAGGAAGTTAGGTGAAGCCACACTGCTACCTTTGCTACAATCAGAAGGATCCAAGCTACCCCTATCTCAATTATCTTGTTTGTTTTTTTTTAGTGCGAGTCGTCAACCAAAGTACGTAAATCTGTTGTTAAATAAGTCACAGAATCATCAACCTTTTTTTCGTTCATAGAACGTCTCGTTTAGTCAGTTAAGTGTTATTATTACAATATTATAGCGAAACGATCTTATTTACAAATTTTCCTTATTTCTTTCAAATTGTTATCCTTTTAAGCTCAATTAGCTACGTTTTTTGTTTAGTACGATACTGTTGTTTGTACCTTCGTTTGATAATAATTTATATGACACGAAAATTATCACGTCTACTCATTTCACGCGAGGAGCTCGCTATTTTATTGTTGTTCTATGTCTCTTGATAGTCTATCCTTTCTCTTCAGCCTTATCTAAGTTAGAATCTATTTTTAATTATCGTATTTCAGTTCGAACCTACTACTATTTTTGTACTGCTACTGCTACTAAGCCCAACGATCTTCGATCTTCGCTCTCTTCGTGACCCTTCATGTCAAACGCTACCGAGTGATCTAGACCTTTGAATTTTGATCTGTCACTAAATCAGTTTAAATCTACCAAGTGGAGTTTGAAGTATTTTCACCTCGTACTGCGCTATCCCTGTAGTTGTTGAGGATTTGAGTAAGCCGCAACCTCTGGAATCTTTACAATTACAAGTGAGTCAATTTTTTTCTTTCATCTCCTTCCCAATTTTTGCTTTTTTCTACAGCGTTGCTTCTTTTCGACCACTATTTTACTAAATAAAGTTAACCTAGCTTCTCTGGACACCAGAAGCCTTCAGAATTTCTTAGAACTGTTCCGTACTACATAAGAAATATTATGTGGTCAACACATCATAGCTCAAGAGTGAATTTTACATCATCTTTTCCCAAAGCGAGAACTACAAAGTGTGATAAGCAAAGATACAAAATGCAGTTGGTGTCCCTTATTTTCACTACATGATCATTATAAAAGATTCCGAACTAAATTTTCAAACTTGCAGATTGGAAATTTTTATTGAACTAAACTAATTACTGAGAGTAGATAATAAGGATGAAAAAATGCCTCGCCGAAATGTAGTGGGAAAGATAAACTACCTCGTAGAGAAATGAAATGAAATATGATGTCCTAATGAAGTTCCTTCGCATATTGGCGAGCGTCATTGAAACAGAAAATCGCCCTTTAGCGAAATAAAGAAAATAAAGGCATGTACCACCCTTTCACCACAAGGTGACAATATGAAAAAGTTATAAAACATACAGTTACTTAGCATCCAAAGTATAAGATCGAAAGCTCCTGAAGTTTTATTGAAATTCGTATTTGCCGAAGAAAGACTAGCTGATCAAAGCTATCTAAAGCACACACACAAAAAAATCCGATTTTAAGGAATAGTAATAAAAAATTTAAAAAAAAACTTGCCCAACATGATGTTAAAAAAGTCCCCATCACAGAATTAATTAAAACTGGTTTAAAACAAAAATTTAGAGACTCTTTTAGTTTAGAAGATAATGTCTGTGATTTGATACAAAGGATATGACTGAAACTTTCAAAGTGTAGTTAACTTCAAAGTTTGAGGCTAATCCAGCTTTGTGCTCCAAGTTGCTTTCAATGCCCTCTTGAACTTTAAGTTTGTTTTTCCATTTTACACCTAGTTGAAGTATCATGTAACTATTTTCCAGAATAGACTCTATTTTTGACTTGCTAAAATTTCCTCGATAGTTGACTTACAATTTGCGAGGCTACTTCGTTCTGAGGCTGTCTTCTCCCAGCAGCCAGAAATGAGGCCAATCCACATAACTGATGTCTGAGTTGTGATACCTGTTAGGTCGGGACGATGGCCTCCTTCTACGCTTGATAAAAATTCTTCCATCTTTTGACCTTTGTGATCGTCAAAGGCTTCTTTGCCGTACCACATTTCCCAGAACAAGATCCCGAGGGAGTAAATCTCTGAAGAGGAATTGTAGTTTCTATTTCGCACAGCTTCTGGCGGAAGATGAAGAAATGCATCACACTTTGATCCATGCTCGATGGTCAGCCGCCTCCTGAGGCAGATGTTGCTCAACTTAATATCACGGAGATTTGGACCGTCAAGCTATGTAAAATAATACCAAAAGAATAATTCAAATTGATGATTGAAAGAAACTCGATAAAAAATGGTTTTGTCTTGGTTGACTAGCATTTTTATAGAATAATTGGATCTCATCAAAAGAAATAAAATAAAACTAAGCATGTTTCCACTTTCTGACAAGGCAAGGGTCACGAGTTTGGTTCAAACACACTTTCTTATAGACAAAGCAGTTATACCTTCATCTGCTTTTTGATGTTATGAAATATATTTTACACGCTGCTTCATAACTATACCATAAATGATTAAAGGGAGAGTATAACAGGGAAGTTTGGTACTGGCAACTCAGTTGATAACGTAAAAGCTAACTTCATTGGTTGAATGAAAAAGCGCTCGTTGATACCGTGGCTATTAAGGGTGCCGGTTTGAGAGAGAAAGTTTTGTTCCAGAGCCTTGCGGCTTCCTGAACTGCTTAGATGTAGAGAAAGCCCGAAAACTGCCATCCATATGCTACATGGGACGATTAAGGAGATCAAGTGTTTAGCGACTGGTTTGGATATGTCCTTGTCATTTCCTTCTACGTCGTGTGCTCGGAATCGGCCACCCAGTCGTCTTCCTGTTTCACTAATGTATAACTTTTTGCAATAAGTGTAAGTTATGAAATAGATGGTACTCGCGAAGGTACACGTGAAGTTGATCACTTCGCGGTTATGATCAATTTAGCTTTTCAAAATTGTAAGGGTCTAATTGCAAGCTATTTGGCTTGGCTAAGTCGAGATCAAAGTGTACTTAAGCCTAAGTTTGGAAAGCGACGTGAAAGTCCTTGAACGAGAAAAGCTCTGCGCACACGGAAGAGAGAAATAATCCAACCTTTTATTTTAATGCGAGTTATAGACCTTGGATGTCTTTTGAGAGCTATATTTTTGTCCGTGCTCTGATAGTTTCTAAGTCTATTTTTTTTCCTTGAGTGTAAAACCAATTAAAAACAAAATGTTTTATAACAATGAAATATTTCCCTACCAAAACGTTTTTCAACCGAAGGTCACCGTGAACACATCCGTCAAACATGCTATAGATGGACAGCAGTGCTTCGACGACTTGGGCTGCCCAGCGAATCACGCCCATCGTAGTTATAGGATTCTTTGCAGGACAATTTCCAGGTTGATCGATCAGATAGTACTTTAAGTCAACTCCTGGACACTCAGTTACAAAAGCTGTTTCTAAACCTCTTGGAACCTTTCTGAAAACAGCACCGTAAAACGTGACTATGCGAGGATGACAAAGCCTCCTGTGGAGTGAACAACGAAAACAAGAAATATGTGAACAAATTTCAACTCTGGACCTGGTAAGAGTGACAACAAAATTACTTGTGAAAGTGGATCAACATTTTCAGAAAAATTGTGAATATATGAAAATCATATAAGTGAATCGCGGTTTATGAGATAACTACGGAAGCGATCTTCGCAGTAATAAACACTACTTAAGCAGGCCTGTACGGGATTTGAACCCATGACCTCTGTGGTGGCAGTTTATTACAAATCATCTCAATAAAAAGCTCTCAGTTGGCTTGTTAGCTCGGTTAGTAGAGCACTGAACCGGTAAAGTTAATGACAGACAGAACGAATCGAGCAGAAGTGAACATTTAACGAGGAATGCCAATACGAATGTCATGTTTCAAGAATAATAGGTCAACACACCTACTGAAGTGACTTTGGTATTTTGGGAAGAATACCAAAATGTTATTAACATAACGCGTGTTCTGCATCCCAAAACAAACAAGTTTATTTTGTTGGTGGAGCGTTTGATAGAAAATTGTTTGGTTTATATTAGTTTAGTCGTACCTCAGGTTTGCTTCGTCTGCCAAACACTCAGTAATATTGCTGCTGGTTAGCAGTTCCCTGTACACTTTAAAGGTTACTTGACCACTTGATGAGTACCTTCCCTTAGAAATGCACCCTTGGTAGAGCCCAGGTTCCATTGGTCGCTTCAAATAGACATCCTCGCTGACATGCCAAGAGAGGTCATCCCAAGCGAGCCGCATGCTCCGAATTTCTAGAGAACCAAACAGCGCGAGCTCACCGCGCAAACGCTTGCATTTGTCTCTACAGGGCTTGTAGCGAGTTTCAGTATCCTTCTTGCTTTGTGCCTCCTTTAGAAGTTGCTGACAAAGTTTTACATCGGCTTCAACAAGCATGGGGATTCTCGCTTGCAGGTCAGTTAGGGTGTTTCCAGCTAGCTCCAATTGCACTTTGACCAATGGCTTTAGCGCCTCGAAGGTTGCAGCTTTCGCCAGAAACTTTTGTGACATGATTCGTACGTATTCAGCGCGATCTTTATTGTATGCACTCTTCTTTTTTGCTTCTTTGATGTTGTCAGCAATAGATTCAGCTCCCAAAATTGGAAGGCAAAGCAGTGTTACTGGAACAGACAACGCAACTCCAACAAGAGCAGCTGGAAGCATGAAAGGAATCATTATTCCAAGAAAAAGTTTATCTTCAAATGGAAGGGAAAAATTGTCAAAGCTTGTGAAAACTTGATCCTCTACACTTTCGCTTGCCGTTTTTTCTTCAACATATACTTCTTTTTGTATGATATTGACTTCCACGTTGCGAAGCTCTCCCTCCAGATAATTGTATTTTTCAAGGAACTCTTTGATGACTGATTTCCGTGCCTCCGTAAACCTTTGCTGTTCTTCCTCCCATTCTTCAATCAACATCTGTAATCTTCCTTGAAGAAGCTTAACGAGGACAGCCTCAGTAACTTCCCATGAATTCTCGACAGCTGGAAGTTCGTCAGAGTTCCATTTACAAAACATCTCTACCACTTGGGGAGTCTTTAGGTGGTCGATTAAGGTGCTCATGGCCTGACGAATTCTCCTTTTAAGACATTGCCTCATTTCCTTCTTCGATGATTCTTGTTCCGCTTGAAGTTTCCCCAGCCTCTCTATCACAGCATTTAATCTATCTCTTGCAGCCACATGGTCAGTGGAGATATGACTTATTAATGTACTCATCAGCCAGATTATTCGAGACAACAAACGATCTAACCAGCTGTACAAATTAAGGAAGAATCAAATACAGTTACCAGTTCGTTAATTCTGTACCACGGGTACACATCTTTTCCCGATTTCTCCGAGGAAAATTTGGAAAGGCTCCTGGATTTTTTTCAGGTAGCTGTCCATGCATCTATTCCTCGTATACTTTTCTGAGATGATATGACGTCATCAAAGGAATATTGCAAGATTCTATCATTTTCACTCTGTTTTATGGAAATTCAGAGGGGAAGGTCTCTATCTATCCCTCAATTACTGCACCTCGGATATGGTTTCTTTTACCTTAAACTTCTTTCTTGAATTACCGCATGCTACACAGCTGGCCGGTTGGGAGGAGGGTTTAAGTAATCAGGAAAAAAAGTGTAGATTTGTACGATTTCTTTCGTCTATAGCAGCGATTTTTGTTGGAAAGAGAGAAATCTTGATGAAAGGCCACTGCTGAACGAGGTGCTTTTTGCCTAATAAATTATAGCTTTATGATTAACATACATTTACAAATGATCTACACTACCTCCAATGTTGTTCAAGTCTTGTTTCGATGCTTTTCGAAACCAAACAGCCAATCTTGTCTGTAAGTGAGGCAAATTCTGAATTCATGACTCCTAACTTCTGGGCCGCAAGAGCTTTAGTGGTTGAAAGGCGAATAATATGAGTATTTGTGTCTAGATCTGGCAAACACTGACTCAACTTGTTGATTATGTGCGCTATGACCACATCTCCCTCTGAGGTTGGTATGGTGTCCCACTTGTTGCAAACGAACAAAGTGCAGTTTGGTGAGAATTCCATTTGCTGTTCAGTCGTGAGTTCCCTCGTTTTGTGCAGAAGTCTAACAAGCTAACAAATGAAGAAACAAGCTATATAAAAAGATTCAATTAAAACATAGCGCTTAAATGAGATAGCTTTTTGGACTCTTTGAGCTATCCAAAAAAAGTTAGGGTTTAAGAAGTAGATCAAGCACTGGTGAGGAGTTGAAAGGGTTTTGCTAGTAGTCATTTCAGAAAGTATCAATTCTTACTTACCCGATCTCTTTGAACTCCGCCGGCATTGCTGCTGTTGATGACATAGATGAAAGCAAAGGCATTTGGTAAGTAGCTCACAACAATGTCGTCCATAATGTCAGACTCCCCGACGCCAGGGCTGTCAACGATCACGACACCGTCCTAGTGTGGAAACAGGGTAAGTAAGTTTATTTTATCCAGGTTATTCTTACAATTCGACGTTTAATCCCCTAAAAAGATCCTAAAATTTAGTTGCTACCTTACATCATATTTATAAAAGTACGGTTTGAAGCATGATCGTCGGAGTGTCTAACCTGTAATAATCTGTGAGGCCAAAACAGTTCCACTTTTTTGTAGCTCGATGCCTTTTCTCTTAAACTTGCAGACTTGACATGAACAAATTCTGATATTTGATCTATGTAGGGCGAGGATTCGTTAAGATGCTTTATCTGCGGAGCCTTTCCTTCTTCTTTATAGTGTATCTTTATCCTTTTCTCTCTTCCATATTTCAATTCACAAATTGTCGATGTTGTACTCAAAACAGAAAATGGCAAAAGCTCCTCACCAAGAATTAGGTTCAACATGCTGCTTTTGCCTGCACTGGTCTCGCCTAAGCGTAAATAAAATGCCAAATGATCATTGCTTAAATCGTCAATCTCAAATTCCTTCTTAAACAACCAATATTAGTTTGAAATTTCACCATAAGTAAAATACAACGGCCATAAAGTCTTCCGCCCATATTCTCGAGTTCGAGTTATTCGATATAACATTTCCTGTTTTAAAGGTCGAAGCCCCACAAGTCGCTACATGAATTAAGCTCTCCGGCTTAAGAATTCGATAGACCCCAGTTGACGGTTATTCATGAATTAATTGGGAAACTTCCTAGCCAAGTAGATTTTTGATACTCCTCTCTGTCACTGTTAGACCGGCTTTCTTTGTGCTTAGCATGATCATGACTTATCAAAGCACCTCAGTGGTTTGGGTAAGGTATTATATTCAAGATATTCACCTGCGACGAGAAGAACATAATCTCTGTCTTGCATTCTTTTTATTCTTGTCTTAATCTTAGAAAAGACGTCGCCTTCGCTTGTTTTCAACAAATCAAGGACTGTAGCGTCAAGGCCCTGTATTTCCCTCTCCACCTTAGCGTAATAATCAAGAAGGGCTAATGACTTTTCCTTATCCATTGATTGTGCCTCTGAAATCACCTTAAAGGCCTGAAACATGCGTAAATTAATATTAAATGGGTTAAATAAGCAAATGGGTACATGTAGACTTGAAAACAATCCGAAGATTCATTAAAAAAATCACTTACTCCGAAGCGCTCGGAGTTTACAGGTGTTCAAAAACTTTTTCTGTTATGGCGTGAGATTGGGACAAAATCGATCATTACATTTCGTATCGTGTGTTTTTTCTGTGTGAAGCAACAAAAGGTGCCGGCGACTGACGAAATTACAGGTTAACACGAAAATCAAATAACACCTAAACAAATAATTTTGGCTACCGATTTTCAATGAATTTATAAAGAATAATCTTCTTTTAAGTTTCAAGACAATTTGAAGATTCAAAATAAATATTACAAACTAAAATACGAAAGTTATACACCACAAAATTGATAAATTGGCCTGAAATAAAATTCTATCTTGTTCTTGATTATACGTTGCTAGCACTTGACCAAAATCTACCCAGGCGGAAATCCAAAATGACGGTGGCAGTCTGAGCTTGGTTATATCACTCAAAACTCGTTCCCGTTTATCACATTTGCTTAAGAGGGCATCAATAATGTTTTCATTAAGACAGTATTGTCTTGATTTTCCAATATTTACAATAATAGACAGTAAATTTTACTTTTCACCCACATTTACTTCCAACCTTTTCTTTTGAACTAGAAACAAAAATGATATAGTTTTAAAACACATGACATTATCCACCCTTGTCAAATGCAATAGCATGATCATTTCAATTGTAATGCCTTCTTATCCCAACGTTATTTTGTTTCTTTGCTACAATAGCGAACACTGAACTACTGCTCGTACTATAAATATGACAATCAACTACAAAATTCCCTAAACCAGATAACATTAAACTTAATCCAAAAAATCAAGTAAGTCATCTGTCCATTCACGAGTTTGCTCACAGAGCACTTTGATTCCAATTCAAAACTGAAAAACGGCAAATATATTGGTGTGTATGTCGAACTGAGTGTATACTGTCGTCCGTGTCAGTGCACAAATACAAGCTCAAGTAAGTAGATGTGTATAACAAGGGCGATCCAAGCAAGCATAGTTTACAGCACTTGGAGAAGGCAAACGAGCACCCGCCTGTTACGAAAAACCCAAAAACGCCCCAGGGAAAACAGGAACCTTTTTCCCGACCAAATGCAGCAGCGCCGACCTTCGCATAAATACTGAGTACAGTTCACCACATACACTAACTATGCACGTATAATTTAGAACGAGATACTTGGATATTCATTTACAAGAAATCGCCTGTTTTGAATAAGATTGACAGTTCGAGAGCTAAAATTAATGCATAAATTACTATTGTCAGACCTTACATTCACCGCAACAAAAGAGTTTGTTCGTACCAGGAGGAAATTATTTTAGCTTATTTCTATTTTCAGTCGCTGCCACCTACAGCTAAGTTCCGCCGAATGTCATTACATTTCATCAAAGCCGCCCATTTTTCTTTTTCTGGATATATATAGCTTAATTTTCAACTAATCTTGCATGAAAAAAATGGCAGACACCGTGAGTCAGATGAATTACAAATGAACTTTGAAGTTGAAACGACCGAGGAAATTACTGTATTTTCTGCTCTAGGCCAGACTGTCTACCTGCTGTTGTGAATTCACTGATCGGAACAAAATATAGAGCTGAGCCTAACGGTGAATTTTCATAATGTTGGGTCGATTGATGCACTTATCGGTAACCGAACAGACATGAAATTATAGAACTGAATTTAAGGATCGAGTTGCGTTTCTATGTTTCTTTGAAATCTTTGCAGTAATTTTAATCGCGTAAGAAAAGTAAACATCTGTTACTGCAAGACGTTTTAGAAAGTAACTATACATGATATATGAGAGCGATTCAGAGCCATTCGTCTTAAGATGCCACGTTTATGAGCTACAGCGACGTGATGATAATAAGTTTAGTGCAAACATTCATCGACTCGCTTTCGAAATGCGCAGAGGAAAGGAATAGTATTAAAAAATACTTGCTGCCAAATAAGTTTGTTGAAACAGCAATGTTTCTCCAGTACATTACATGCAACCAGCCAGGCTGTGCAAAAGAACCTAATGCAATGGTAAGATAAGGAACAAATGTAAAGTGGAAAGACAATAGATATAACTGCTAGCTTACCCAGACATTTTCCATCGACTGCGATGATAAATAAAATGATGCCGGAAATGTCTAAATCATTACGAAGAACCCCTAAAAGCAGTAAATCCACTTTAATTTACTGATATTGAATTATTTCCTTGGCAGTCGCCCTGTAGATTCTGAGCCATTCGTTTTACGATGCCACGTTTATGAGCTACAGCGGTATGATGATAATAAGTTTAATGTGAACATTCATCGACTCGCTTTCGAGTCGAGGGATACTTGCTGCCAAGTAAAAGTTTGTTAAAGAAACAATGTTTCCCCAGTCCATTACATGCAACCAGCCAGGCTGTGCAAAAGAACCTAATGCAATAGTAAGATAAGGAGCAAATGTAAAGTAGAAAGACAATAAATATGACTGCTAGCTTACCAGACATTTTCCATCGATTGCAATGAGCTTACAACGACGCTTTAGCTAGAAAATGACGTCTAAATTATCACGAAGAACCCCATAAAGCAGTAAATCCACGTTCATTTACTGAGATTGAAACATTTCCCCGGCAGTCCTACCTCATTGCAGGCCAAGCGGTTATCTTTTCGAGAGCTTAGATGAGCGAGAATCCTTTCCTTCATGTCTTCGATGTTTTTGCATCCTTTAGTTGGAATGCTCAAATTCTGCATTAAATCGATAACCTTGGCGATGTCATCTGCCTCATCCAATTTTCGTCTGATGGCTTCCATTTTTTTCTTCCAAAAGAAACTTTGGAAAACTGAATACACGGCGCTCAGTAGAGAATGAATTTCCAATTTCGAGATTGTTTTGCAAGGCCTATATTAATAGAATTATCACATGACGACTTACGGTAACCAAGGTTTCATGTCATGTTTACGTTTAATGCAAAGCGACCTTTGAAGCAGCGAAGTCGCTCTAGAGTGATAACAGATATTTTGGGCGAAAACACTAGCGTTATCAACCGCTTTGCTCTTCTACGTTACCAATCCCAGTTGATTTTAAGTATAATTGAAAGTCTAATCTTCCCGTTGTTGCATCAGCCTCTAAAAGAACTATACTTTGACAAATCATGTTTTCTTTCTCTCTTTACAGAAATTAAACATTGTAAAGTTATTTAGCGTGAGTCAACCGTGAATCCCTTGATGAAAACCGCATACGATCAAAAGTTGTTCGAATTCTCTTACAAAAATGACGGAAAAGCGAAGAGGGATAACAATGATTTTTTACGATGATATTAGTTTCTAGGAAATCGTCTCTGATTGCTATTAGTGTCGCAGACTTTATCATTTCATTGGCTGGCAGCTCGTGGTGATGACAGACACCTGGTTTAACCGTGACATGAAAGCAGTCTTTACTTGTCAATGATCTGATTTTCGCTCTTGCACTGCATCGATATAACTGAAGCTTGCGAATTAATTAAATATTTCCGTCTTTCAAGGAAAGGATTAAATTCACTAGACGAGATGAAGAACAAACTTCGTGAACATTTAAAAGGGTTTGAAAGGACTTCGTCGCCAAGGATTGGGGAGTTATGTAATCACAGTAACACTTTTTCAGTTCAGACATCACAGATATTTGTGCAGAGTATGGTAAATTATCCGACTATATGTAATTCATTTTCTTCCTGAGAGGGTTCTCCTCCAGGTTGATATGTCAGTTCGAATTGTCGAGAACTGAAACGGTTCTATTCCGCTCATGACAAAGGGTCGACGAAGAGGCAATTTGTGATACAATTTAGCCAAACGATACGAAAACACGGTCTCTAGTGCTCCCCATAGCATACTTCACAAGCTATTTTGGAAGACCGCTAATTTAAAATTGATGCCCATGGTTTGAAAGCCGAAACAGTGCGAAAATAGAAACTTTAAAGAAATTTCTTAGAGGTAAGAAACATTTAGAACAAAAAACGGCTGAAATCAAGAATTTCGTCTCTTTGGCTGTCGAAAAAAATTAACTCAATTTTTGGCTTCAGCCTCCTTTAAAGATAACTATTTCATTGGTGTAAATTTTCTTTTTCGGAATAGTTACGTGACACAGTTAATGACTAACTGCTCTAAACTGGCAGAAATTATAGTAAATTACCCCAAATTTAAGAAATTGTTTCCTTAAGGTTGAAACAACCATTGGACAAAATCCCTGGCATTCTGTTGCTGTGAGAGTGAAGAAGGAAGGGCATTTTTCGAGCTAATTTAAGCCTTTTATCTGAGGGATTTGATGTGGGGGCTCCTATACCCCAGGGATGAGTCGGGAGCCCGAACCACTCTGGATTCTTGAATGAATTAGTGACCCTCAGAAACTGTGAAAGTTTGAAAGAAGTCGGGGACCCGAAATCGGTGAGATGGTATGTATCACGCCTACCCGGTCCTCTCGTGGAAAGACTCTTGAATCTAAAAGCATCAGGTTCAGGGGAGCTTGTTTAATTTACATTGGAAACACCTATCCTCTATTTTCTCCCCAGAGGAAAGCTCATGTGTGGGGAGAGGTAAGTTTTGGTTAGTTATGCTATGGCTTGCTTTTCGCGTAACACCGGCATATTAAGAGGGGTCTTTACATTTTACGTTTTCGTATGATCTTAAGTGATATTCCCTAGTGCAAGTCAGCCTGTGGGCTACACGTGGTCCCTGTGGCTGGAAACTGTTATGGGGAAACACTTAGGAAAAGTGTTGTATACTAGGGTTCCATGTACTACTATCTGATCTGATCTGTCTATCTGATCTGTGCGATTCTGCTCCTTTCAAGCCTTTCCCCAAGTCCTCCTCACAAAAGTAGTTCAAGAAATGAGTATCTAACATCATGCTCTCCAGCATGTCAATTTTTGGCTTTCGAATTTGGAATGGTTCGTCTGCAAAAAGGATTTTTTGGTTTTCGACCTTGGATTGTGCAATGGTTTTCTACATCCACTCTTTGTATTTCAAACAATGGTTACTACAAGCCTGGTGGAATTCTGCATTCATCAACACTTCTTTGTGACACTGTGCCTAGTGAAGTGCGAAGCAATTCAATTCAACCTCGTACTATTCGTGCTTCATTTGTCTCATTAGACAATCGCTGCTCTGTACCATTATATAAAATCAAGAAAAAATGGTTCAAGAGTAAAATCTCTTATTATTCCAATAGTTCGTCAACTTTTAATTTTTTGGAATTATCAGTCTTGCTTAGCGGTGATGTTCATCCATTGCCTGGCCCGGAGAATAGGAAATCTATTTCAGTTCGTATCTCTCAACGTACGCGACGTCGCCATGGTAACCATCACACGGTGAAAAAAATCACAAAAGACCTGCAGTCCGTACCATCATTAATATTCCAACTATCTCAGAACAATCTCCTAACGTCAAAAACATCTTAGACTCTGCTGCTTGAATGCTAGATCAATTAAAAACAAATCTGCGGATTTTGTTTGCTATGCAGCATCCACCGGTGCGGACATTTACATATTTACAGAAACATGGTTGACGGAACGTGACATTGCACATAGAGCTGAACTTACTCTGCCTGGTTTCAAGCTGCTCGATCAACCGCGTCTTGGAAGGACTGGTGGTGGACTTGCACTCTTAATAAAGAGCGGCATAGATGTCAAGAAAATGGACGGTGGTGAGCGTAGATCTTTCGAATTTTTTTAATGGACTCTGCGTTATGGTTCAAATAGCTTGAGAATTGCTGTCATCTATCGTATACCATATTCTCAAGCCCATCCAGTCACCACTAGTGTTTTCTTTGATGAATTCATAACTTACCTCGAGTCGATCATCATGTCTCCTGAGCCGCTGCTGATAACGGGTGATTTCAATATTCATGTTGACGTACATACTGACTCTGATGCTTCTCGTTTTCAAGATTTACTATCGTCTATGGGCCTTCAACAGCACGTGGATAAATCTACACATATATCTGGGCACACCTTAGACTTAATGATTACTCGTTGCTCGGATTCATTTCTTACAGCCAAACCTATGACTGACTACTTGTTTTCAGACCATTTTACTGTTCTTTGCGATCTTGCCTTAAGTAAACCATCTCCCAAAACTGAGCAAATATCATATAGAAAACTGAAAGCAATCAAGATTGAGGATTTCAAACAAGATCTGTCTACCTCTGAGCTTTGTAAATACAGTCCAGATTCGCTTAACGATCTCGTTAAATGCTATAACGATACCTTGTCCCAAGTGCTCGAGAGACATGCTCCACTTCGATCCAAAGTTATACGATCTCGACCTCTGGTTCCTTGGTTCAATGAAGATATAAAAAATGCTCGCCGTGAAAAACGGAAAGCAGAAAGAAAATGGCGACGCTCTGGCAAACACGACGATATGTTGTCATACAAAAAGATCAAGAATACGACAAATCGATTAATAAACGAAGCTCGAGGCCAATACTATCATGACTTCATTAATGATAACGGTTCAAACCAAAAAAAGCTCTTTGCAGCTGCGAATACTCTTTTGAATCAAAGGAAAAAGAACACTGTGCTACCACCTTGCGATGATAAACTTGAATTAGCTGATAGGATGGGCTCGTACTTTGTTAAAAAAATCACTGATATTGGTACAAGACTCGACGTTATGGCTCAAGATCTTTCCACTGACCCGCTTTTAAACTGTACATTGTCACCAACCCCCAAATTTAGTAAATTTACAGCACTTTCTGAACTCGAAGTACGGAAACTTATCGAAGGTAGCGCAAAGAAAAGCTGTTCTTTTGATCCGATGCCCACCTCACTGGTTTTTAGCTGCATTGATGTCCTGCTTCCCGTGATCACAAAAATGATAAATCTATCCCTCGTGGATGGTGTGTTTGCTGATGTCTGGAAATGTGCACTTGTTAAGCCGTTGCTCAAAAAAGCTGGTCTTGATCCACTTCTTAGTAACTACAGACCTGTTAGTAATTTGCCATACATATCGAAGCTCACCGAAAAGGCGGTGTATAATCAATTTCATTTACACATGATAGACAATTCTGTTTATCCAGAAATGCAATCATCTTACAGAAAAGGACATAGTACCGAAACAGCGCTTCTTCGAGTTGTTAACGATATCTTAATGAAGATGAATTCACAAGAGGTCACTCTTCTTGTCATGTTGGATCTTAGTGCCGCCTTCGACACTGTTAATCATGATATGCTGATCAAACGTCTACACGAAGAATTAGGTATTGCTGATTCTGCCCTGAGCTGGTTTGAGTCATATCTCCATAACAGGATGCAAAAAGTTGACATGGAGGGATCGATATCTAACCCATTCGATTTAGGCTGCGGAGTTCCTCAAGGGTCGTGTCTTGGACCGATTCTATTTATTATATATGCATCTAAGCTCTTTAAGATCATTGAACACGAGCTTCCTTGTGCTCATTGTTATGCTGATGACACCCAGTTATATCTGAGTTTTAAACCTAATACTACATCTCAAGACCAAGTCTTGCAAGCAATGGAGAACTGTATTGAAAAGACCAGGAAGTGGATGATTCATGATAGACTGTTAATTAATGATAGCAAGACTGAACTGATTTTAATAGGCTCCAAACAACAATTATCTAAACTACAGCCAATCAGTATCTCTGTTGGCAACTCGGTAATTAATAATAGCTCCGAGGTTAAAAATCTAGGCTGTTGGTTGGATGCTAACCTAAGCATGTCTAAGCATATTACAAATATTTGCAAATCTGCATTCTTTTATCTTCATAACATTAGAAGCATTAAGAAATATTTACACGAAGACAGTCTCCATACTTTAGTTCATGCGTTTATAACGAATAGATTAGATTATTGTAACAGTCTTTTGTATGGTGCCTCAAAGGAACTGATAGCTAAAGTATTGTGTACAGAATGCAGCCGCAAGACTGCTATTGAACGTTGGAAGGTACTCGAATATTACTCCTATTCTATATGAGTTACACTGGCTTCCAATCCAGGCTCGCATTAAATTTAAAATTCTTCTACCTACTTTTAAAGCGGTTCATAATTTAGCTCCATCATATATTAACAGCCTTATATCTATTAAATCAAAATCTTCTTATTGTCTTCGATCTAATGACGGTCTTTACTTAGAGCCCCCTAAGGGTAAGATGCTGAAGACATTTGGAGCTCGGTCTTTTCAGGCAGCAGCATCATACTTATGGAACAGACTTCCTCATGAAATTAGAATAATTAAGTGTTTGGATAAATTTAAAAAAGCTATTAAAACGTTTCTGTTTAATGAAGCTTTTAGCAATCATTAACTTAGATATATTACACTAAAATAATTTATTCTTACATATTTTTAGCTACCATTACTATAGTAAATTTTATTTAGATACATAAGGTTTTTAATTTTTATTCAGTGTAAAGCACTATTGATCTGTACATGTAAATAGGGCTATACAACTAATAAATTATTATTATATTATTATTATTATTACTATAGAGTAATGCGCGAATCAGGCCATGTGCTCTACACAACTGCTTTATTAGGATACGATAAATTAATTACATAAAATGATATATCAGGCATAATCAGGTGACTGCGGTCAAGGGTGTGCTAACCAGTAGAATACAGCTGAGGTATTTATCCAGATAGGAAAAACAGACAAAAAGACTTTGAGTTTGCAAAGAAAACGCAAAAAAAAAAAAAATAATAATAATAATAAAACAACCATGTCCTTTATGACAATCTTCAAGAATAGGTTTCATTTTAAAGTTCATCGCTGAAAAAGTTAAGCCTCAGACAGTGAACATTGTTTAGTTTGGACCATTCCGTGATGTTAGCTTTTAAACACCCCTAACACTAATTTCCTACAAACTTTCCTTCGATTTATATTAGTTATAAGTAGGAGACTAAGTGATCTTAAATGAAAGTTTCGGCAGAAATCGAGATATCCTGGAATTGTATCATAACTTTGGAATCTTTGCTACCCAGGAAATAGTTCTTATTGTAGGCGCTACTTTTAGCAACGCCTTAGCTTTCTTCACGTATCATAGCCTATAAAAGTGCGACGCATACCGTAAGTAAAAAAAAGGAAGTTAGGTGAGGCCACACTGCTACCTTTGCCACGATCAGAAGGATCCAAGCTACCCCTATCTCAAGTGTCTTGCTATTTTTTCTGGGTACGAGTCGTCAACCAAAGTACTTAAGTCTGTTGTTGTTAAATAAGTCACAGAATCATCAACCTTTTTTCGGTCATAGAACGTCTCATTTAGTCGACTAAGTGTTGACTCAACGATCTTATTTACAAATTTTCCTTATTTCTTTTCAAATTGTTATCCTTTTATGCTCATTTGGCTACCTTTTTTGTTTAGTACGATACTGCTGTTTGTACCTTCGTTTGATAATAATTTATATGACACGATAATTATCACGTCTATTCATTTTACACCAAGAGTTCGCTAGTTTGTTGTTGTTCTATGTCTCTTGATAGTCTACCGTTTCTCTTTAGCCTTATCTAAGTTAGCCTCTAGAATCTTTACAGTTACGAGTGAGTCTACTTCTTTCTTCCATCTCTCTCCGTATTTTTGCTTTTTTCTACAGCGTTGTATCGTTTCGTACACTAATTTACCAAATAAATTTAATTTAGCATCTGGAAATCAGACGCGTTCAAAATTTTTTATAACTGTTCCGTGTTACATAAGAAATATGTTTGTGGTCTACACATTAGAGCTCAAGAGTTCACTTTATATCATCTATTCTCAAAGCGAGAACTACAACGTGTGATAAGCAAAGATACAAATTGCAATTGGTGTCGCTTATTTTCACTGCATGATAATTATAGATGATTTAAAACTAAATTTTTCCAACTCGCACATTGTAAATTTTCATTAAACTAAAGTAATTACTGAGAGCAGATGATAAGGCCTAAATGTAGTGATAAAAAGATAAACTACCTCGTATAGAAATGAAATGAAATGTGATATGTCCTAAGAGTCTATAACCCTCCTAATAGTGGTTACAATTAAGTTCCTTTGGATACTTGTGTGCTTTATTAAAACAGAGAATCGTCCTTCAGCGAAATAAAGAAAATAAAGGCATGTACCACCCCTTCACCACAAGGTGATTACAGGAAAAAGTTTAAAAACACGCAGTTAATTAGCATCTCACTTATAAGATCGAAAGTTCCTGAAGTTTTATTGAAATTCGTATTCGCTAAATTAAGACTGGCTGATGAAAGGTATCAAAAGTTGTTTTGGTCTGCCCAGCGAATCGCATTCTCCGAAAACGCGGAATTCTTTGCAGGACAATTTCCGGGCTGATCGATCAGATATTTCTTTAAATCAACTCCTGGACACTCAGTTACAAAGGCTGCTTTTAACCCTCTTGGAATATTTCTGAAAACAGCACTGTAAAAGGTGACAATATGAGGATGGCAAAGCCTCCTGTGGAGTGTACGACAAAAAAAGAAATAGGTCTAGGAAATAATCTGAAAGCGATGTTTGCGGTAATAAAAAGTACTCAAGCAGTAGCGAAAATAAGGCTTGAAAAAATTTAGGCCTGTACGGGATTTGAATCTATGACCTATGCAGTGGCAGTTATTTACGAATCAACACAATGACCAGCTTTCAGTTGGCTTGTAAACTCGGTTGGTAAAGCACTGAACCTGTAGAAATTAATTCCAGAACGAATCGAACAGAACTGTACGTTAAACGAGGAATGCCAAAAACCGCAAACCTTTACTGCTTCTCCTCCCATTCTTCAATCAATATCTGTAGTCTTCCTTGAAGAAGCTTAACAAGGGCAGCCTTGGTAACTTCCCATGACTTCTTGACAGCCGAAGGTTCGTAAGAGTTTCACTTGCAAAATCTCTTTTTCACTTGGGGAGTCTGTAGGTGGTCGATTAAGGTGTGGATGGCCTGACGAGTCCTGCTTTGAAGACATTGTTATTGTCTCTTTCGGTGGCTCCTGTTCTGCTTGAAGTTTCCTCAATCTTCCTATCACAGTATTTACTCTATCGGTTGCAGCCACATGGTCAGTGGAGATATGACTTATTAATGTACTCATCAGCCAGGTTATTCGGGACAGCAAAAGATCTAGCCAGCTGAACAGATTAAGGAAGAATCAAATATAGTTACCAGTTGAACGCACAGGGAAGATCGATGTTTATTAATTCTATACCATGGGTACACATTTTTTCCCGATTTCTCCGAGGAAAATTTGAAAGGGCTCTAAGGTAGCCGTCCATGCACCTATTCCTTATATATTTGTCAGAGATGGATGGTGAATAGCTGCTCTAGTAGAGAGACATAATGTCATCAAAGGAATATTGCAAGATTCTATCATTTACACTTTGTTTGATGGAAATTCAGAGGAGGAGGTCTCTATCTATCCTTCAATTACTACACTTCGGATATGGCTTCTTTCGCCTTAGACCTCCATCGAGGAGAGTGTTTAAGCAATCAGGAAAAAGTGTAAATTTATACAACTACTTTCGTCTATAGCAGTGCCGGAATTTTGTTGGAAAGAGAGAAATCTTGATGACAGGCCATTACTGAAAGAGGTGCTTTTTGCCTAATAAATAGTAGCTTCATGATCAGTTAACATACATTTAGAAATGATCTAAACTACCTCCAATTTTGTTCAAGTCTTGTTTCGATGCTTTTCGAAACCCAACAGCCAATCTTATCTGTAAGTGGGGCAAATTCTGAATTCATGACTCCAAACTTCTGGGCCCCTAGAGCTTTAGTAGTTGAAAGGCGGATAATTTGAGTACTTATGTCGACATTTGGCAAACACTGAATCAACTTGTTGATTGTGTGCGCTATGACCACATCTCCCTCTGAGGTTGGTATGGTGTCCCACTTGTTGCAAACGAACAAAGTGCAGTTTGGTGAGAAATTCATTTGTTGTTCAGTCGGGAGTTCCCTCGTTTTGTGCAGAAGTCGAACAAGCTAACATATGAGGAAACAAGCTATATAAAACAATCCAGTTGGAACTTTGGGCTTAAATGAAATAGCTTTTTGGGCTCCTTGAGCTATCTAAAAAAGTCGTGTTTAAGAAATAGATCGAGCACTGGTCAGGAGTTGAAAGGATTTGCCGGTAGTCATTTCAGAAAGTATCAATTAATATATAGATTTAGCCAAGCCTAAAAGCGGAGCTCTTGTTAGTTTATTTTCTAGCCCCTCTTTAAAATAAAAACTGTAATAAAACTCCTCAGCACTGGCTGTAGAAGACTTTCTTCAAGGGGATTAAGAAACCAGTCCGGGGGTGGGGAGGGAAGGGGAGAATTTGCGAGGTCTGGAACCTGGGAACGACGTTCTCACCACTTGCGATAAAACGCATGCTAGTCAGCGGTATCTTCAAGCAGCTGAGGACTTTCGTTGTTGTTCCTGATCTGTTGAGCAAATTTTCGAAGATACAGAATCATTTCTTCTTTAGAGGAAGTGTGCGATGTCAGCATCAGTTGAAATGACATTCTTTTGAGCGTGACTGATAATTTTAGTTTGGAAAAATGAGCCAAAACTGAAAGAAACGACGGTAAACTACTTCGAGTCTAGACATAACCAGTCGATTGAAGAGTATACACGTGATAACAGTGAATTTGTAAATCAAGACGCCAGAATCGTATGGGCTTCTCTTATATCTTCTCTTGAAGTTTCCAGGTATGACTGCTTGTATGATTGCCTTTTGGTTGGAAATACACGGCGTCTTTGAGAGATTCTTTCTGTTATTTGATTCGGTAACCTCTAATGTTAAACTATTTACAATGTAGGTCTCTTTAAGCCAACTGCCCATGATCTTAGCAACTCTAGCTAATGAAGTACGAAATTTGTCTGACATGCTTCTTGCGCTGCAAAAGTTTGCTTTAAAAGAAGACAAGCTAGAGCTAAAATGTCGTGATTAAAACTCGATGACGAAGAGAGACTCACGATTCGATCATGAGGACATTTGTGGAAAACTTGAGATAATACCTGGATTTCATTTTTACATCACAGCAATCAATTCCAAACATCAATCAAGTTTTCTCTTAAGTTTTAAATGTGAGTTGATGTTGTTATTGGCTATATTAAATGGGTTGAAAAGTTTTTGATGGTATTTTCTCATGTTTGCAAATAGTTAAATTTAATGGATGGTAGAGTTATTGCAACATGTTAACATGAAACACAACAATGAATTTTATTCATATGTAAAAAGTATTCATTTAACTATCTACTATTTCAACCCAACTATTTTCCATAATTTTTAAACACTATTATAAAATAATTAGTCAGGGAAACATACATCATGTTTGAAATGTTGTGTCCATAGTAAGCAAACAGGATTGAGGAGTTTATGTGGGAATAGGACCAGTGGAAAAATGTACCAAACATCTGCAAGATTTTATGTAATTATTTTAATTAAATGAATATTAACTGATACTAGGAGATCTAAGAATATTCAAAAGAATGTAAAACTTTTTTGAAAAATTAGAACTCAGCATAGGCCAAATAAACAAGATTCTTAGAAAAAGAGATGTGTATTCATGAAAAAAGCCAAGGAACCTTTTTACTGGTTTTATATGTTGAAAACACACACACATGCAGATTTCTTATAAACCTGTAGTTCAAGCCTGCCATGACTTCAAAATTTTGATACACACCTCAAAAGGAGAAGAAATAAATTTCAAGTTTCTATTCATACAGTTTAGGTTTGTCAGGTAAAATTGAGTCTAACAAAGAAATTTTCACAACTAATTTGATAGGTTATCCTACCTAGAACAATCAACTTATGTACATATAAGACTAGGTATGTACCAATGATGCACAAAAGAACTATCTGTGGTAATAGGGCAGGCTTCCTTTCTTCATTTAAAAAAATACTGAGCATCATCTTTCCACAAGCTCAGTGGAAAGTGAGAGTGAGAGAGACTGATAATGACTATGTTATTTGAGTTAATATCCAGAGAAGGATAAAAGGCAAGATATGGTCTGCACAACTTTCTAATTTCAATTTTATAACTTATTAAGCTAAGTCATTTATATTCTTGCTTTGTGCATTGTGCAGATGCCAATTAATTTAACTTTCATGAAGGCCAAAGTTAAAACATGAATTAAAATCGCAGAGCCCATTTTAATTTCAGTCCTAATTAAAAGGAAATCTTTGCTTTTCCAGTTTTTCACCCTTTAAAAATCATATATCTTGTGACCAATTCCTTATATCAATCTTAAGTTTGGGTATGAGTATTGGTAAGAAACACCATGCAGTAATGAAAGCTTGAGCAAGAGTATTTAATGCAATTCAAATATAATATTACATGTTACAATGTGGCAACTTACTCAGCAAAATTATATAATCACACAATTCCAAACAAAGAAAGTCTGATAACCTGCTTCAACTTTTGAGGGCTTGAGGTAGAAATAAATAAATATGGTAAACAGTTAAAATTGATATAAAGTTGAAAGTTTAAAAGCTAAGAGATATACCGTACATTACAATCATCAAATCCTATACATTTTAACAAAAAAGGGTCAGTTACCACTATAACTTCTCCCAAACATTCATTCTTACAGGAAATTATTAATTTTTATCACTGGGTGGTACTGCACTTACAATAGTTCCACTGACACAAATGCATTTTGCTATCTCATAGCTTATGTCAGGTCATGTGGGTGATTCCTGATTGGGGACTGACATTTCAATTGCCTCAGCAAACTGTAATCATCAGAATTGCAAGCCAAGGTGTATTTACCAAGTGCTCACGTTTCAAAAGTAGTGACCAATTTGTTACAGTCGAGTTCACTCCTTTTTGAGGCCATCTTCAGCTTGATCATCCTGTTACATGTGAAAACATCAAATGTTACCCACATATTCAAATACTTACTTGAATCAAAGTTATAATATTTTTGATAACCTGCTACCTTTAACACTTTAATTCCTGATAGTGACTAGCATCTAATTTCCCCTTTCAATATCACCCCTGAATCAAACATTAAGGTTATGAGAATAAAGGCAATAATAATGAACTAAAGAACCTCTTGATTGTTAAACAAATTCTCCTTGTCAGCACATAATGAAATGTATTGAGAATAGTATGGAGAATATGCATACTGATGTTAGGGTGTAAAGGGTTAATAGTGCTCCAAAAAGAGTAAATAGTGTTGGAGAGAAAGAAAGAAAGTTCTTGAAACATTCTATGTTAAATGAAACTTTATTATGAATGTTGGTTGCAACAGCAATGAAAACATCAGTGAAGCTACAATACAATTACCTTTCCATGTAAACAAACCATGATGAAGAATGATATGGATAAATTTAATCTCACGCAGTTTGAATGTAGAATCCGAAATCTAATAAACTTACCGGTGAATAGGAAAAAGCTCTATGTGTTTTTTCCTGCTTCTGTCATTCTAAATATCACAAATAAATCATGCCACCACTTTAGTGTGACTCTTTTTCAAGATGTGTACTTTTTCTTATGGTCATCTATTTTTAGTATCCATCTTTTACCAGCTGACATCTGAGAAGAATCAAGTCCACACTGGTGATTTAACACATTCTAAGCAAACCCTACAACTGATTAAATCTTATTTGATCAAAAACATGAAGGGCAATGAAGGAAATTGGCAAGCACAATTCAAGTTTCCTTTCCTTGGTATTTAGTAATCATTTCTTTTACCACAGGGTAAAGTTTACAGTTTCTTTCATTTCATTGTCTTCTGTTCATCTGTTTGCTTTCCTAACAATCTTAACTATTGTTGCCAGCAAATGCAAGGAGCACATAAAATGTGTACAGTTATTAACACTTTAATTCCAGAGAGTAACTAGTATCTAATTTCTCCTTTCAATATCATCCCTAAATCAGACATTAAGGTCATGAAAATAAAGGAAATGATAACAAATTCTCCTTCCCAGCACATCAGGAAGTGTATGGAGAACAGCATGGAGAATATGTATACTGATATTAGGGTTAAAGGGTTAAAGACATCATGTAATCAGTTTTATATAGGTAGAGTATTGCTTGGATATATAATTGTGGTGAGTGCAAGTGCCTGGTAAACATCAGTCCATGGTCTTCTACTCTTTCACCTTGAAGGGTGCCTTGTGTACATAAAAATTGAAGGTCAGTGCCTTTACTAGCTCTTTTTGGCTACAAAGATTAACAAAGAACAACAGCCACACCAAAAGATATTTTTCTTGAAAGACACCTTTACAATCATTATGATAGGTACACACAACTGACATGTTTGAATGAAGCATGTCAAGCATAAAGGTATGAATGTCAGTTTACTTTTTATTTCTTGCAAACAGCTTATTTCTACCAGCTTTGAAAACTTTTGTATCCTCGCTTTCAAAGAAAAGCATTTCCCATGAACATTTAATTTTAAAGACATAAGCTACCAGCAACAGGTTTTTCCATTGTTTCATAACATCAGATTCTCATCACATTTTTTTGTTACATTTGAAAGCATAAGAAAATTGTAATCATTACAATATAACGCAATCCCACATTTTAACTGTTTTAGTCCCACTAGTGACCTAGACAGAATTTCTCCTTACACGATCAGTAAAATCAGTACAATATCAAGCAGATGAGTGATGAGAATAAAGAAAAATATCAATTAGAGGATAATTGGTTGATCCAATTCCAAATTCTCTAACCAAACATCACATAATTTGTATGACAGGCAGTAAAGAGAATTACTAATGAAATCTTGAAAGTTAAAGGGTTATGTAATCATATGTACTAGAAAGACAGCAAATAAATGTAACCTACTCCAGTAAAGCATTCTTATGTACAATAAAGTTTCAAACTCACTGAAATTAAGTTGACTTCATGATTCAGATCTCAGTTTAAGAAATGTGTAATGCGGGTATCAGCGGCCATCCCGAGAGGTCGACCCCCGGGCAACCCAAGGGCAACCCACGGGCTTAGCAGGGGATTTGTAGCAAAGGCATGCCCCGCACGCGGGGCATTAGAGCGCTTTTGCGTTTTTGGCAAAATACCCCGGGGCCATACCCACGGGATTTGCACGTAATCTGCTGTCTCAACGTTCAGCGGTTTTCGCCACAGGACAAGGAAAGCTATGTGCGTTTGACAAATCGGGAAATCTTGGCGTCTTTTATTTGTCCTTTGCAGTTTATTTTCCTGTGTACCATGGTCAAGTATTGTGCTGTTGCTCTGTGCCGTAATGGGAGTAAGAAACGACCTGATCTCAGTTATTTTTGCTTTCCTACAAGGCCCAATGAGCGTAAGAAGTGGGAGGTTTTCTGTAAGCGAGCGGATAAAAAATTCAAGACACTCGGCGATCCAAGAATCTGTTCATTGCATTTTAAGGAAAGCGACATCGAGATTTCAATTTTATACGGTTAGTTCGCATTCGAAGCGTCTTGCCGATAGGAAGAGACAGTGTGATGAACAACCGCAAGCCAAGAAAGTTTGCCCCAGAAAGCTCGAATTTGAGGACTCCATAGAGACTTGTGTGGATTTTAGTGCTGATATGGCTTCAGTAAACCATGATCACTCGTACTTTTGCATCGAGGAACAGGCAACACTGACTATATGTTGCCCAGGTTGCTCCAGGGGTGGGGGTATTTGTCCCAATTTTTTGCCCTACCCGAAGGGCTTTAGCATGTATTTGTCACGGCAGCTGTGACAAATGCCCCTGGGTGCCCGGGGGTCGACCCCTCGGGATGGCCGCTGATACCCGCATAATATCTCTTTACATGGATGAAAAGAGAATACAATTTATAAATTTTAAAATAGTAAATGCAGAAGAACTTAAAGATGGAATTTAAAAAGACTGATAAAATATGGC